TATTAAAAATATTTAATAATTCAAAAAAATAAATGAATAAAAATATTTTTTGACCGGTATTGATAATAAAAAAATTTCCAGATACCAATAATTCCTACGCAACTTTTAAGACAAAATTGAATCTTAATCCAAGTAATTATGTATTTAAACTTATTTTCAAGATGAATTAGGTATCTCAAAATTAAAGGTGGCACAATGTTACCATTCCACAAAACGTTTGTCAATTTGACAATTCATTGGATAGAAATTGTTAGGCACTGCTGAGTTCTTTGTTCTTTCTTTGGGGTTCTTTTCCGCATGCGACAAACCATTGACAATAAAGTAGAGGACCTGATCAATCACCACTCAAAAATTTGACTTCATTTTATCATTCTGAAACCTTCCTCAAGTTCTTCTAGCAAGAAAATTTCTTCAATTAAAGTATATATTCAGTTCACGTTTTATGGAGCCACTTCCTTTGTTAAGGAGTAGCATACTTAATTATTCCAATTAGTGTTACGGTATTCCTCTAAAAACATGTTGTTTATAACGTTTTTTTAAATCTTTCCCTATGAACTCTGTTATTTCTCAGATTTCCAGTTGTAATTCTGCTCTAAATTGGAGAGGACTCTATATATGTTTTCATACACGAATTGCTGTATATCAGCTTTTGAATATTACTCCTTCATTAACTATTCTCATAAGTTATCTTATTTGATAAAAGCATAGAGATTCGTAAGATCAGGCTTCCATGCTGCATTCGCCTGAAAATAGAGGATTTCAATTTAATAAAAACAAAAAAATCAAGTTAACTTCCTCTTTTTGTTTTTTGGGCCAAAAATTCAACTTCATTGGAGAATCGTATAACATTTTTAGCCAACCTCATTTTTAATATTCAATTGCTTTATTTGTTTTACTTTCTTCTCTCTATTAAGATTCTTGATCAAAACTTAACAACACAATCATACTTTAAATAAGTGGGATTTTTCACAAACAAAAAGTTAAATCATTTTAATTATGCTACATTAAAAAATAAGCAATCCAAATTTAACAAGGGATCCTAAAATATTTGATAGCATACCATGAGGCGTTCAATATAAAGGCCATGAAGCTCAAACAGTACTCATTCAGTTAGAGGCCCAACAATCCCTCTAGAGCGTGCCTATCAATATTGCAGTAATATACTGCTTTTCTCAAACTAAGTACAGTCCCATCAAAAGTAACTCTTCAGAAATCTTTAAGCATGCTTATAATTTCAAGCAAGTCATAACAGTTTACTAACTTGCAATTTTTCAATAATATACAATCAAGTAGCATAAAAGGATGGGATGGTTTTGCATGGACTCAGAAGCACATATGGGTGACAACCCAACTAATAAACATACAACATTGTCGATTTTTTTAATACTGTTTTTAGGAAATATAAATATCAGTCTCCAACAGTCAAAGCTTCTGTTGAAGATGAACTCCTAGCAACAGTGTGGTTTTCTTCAAATTGGATAGACAGGAAGACCACTTGACATCCATATTTTGTAGCTGTTGCTTTGCTTTTATATTTTCTTCCACCATGTGAGACTTTTCTTTCTTCACTTCCTCAAACTCCTTTATGAATCCCATTGTGTCAGAAACACTCTTTTTCTTCTGTTCTTTCAGAGATAACAGTTCCATCTCACACTCTTGAATTTCTTTTTCCTTGCTATACAGTTTAGCCTGAAACTTTGAGATTGTCTTCTTCAACTCTGCTTCCTTTAGCCGAGCCTCAGCCAAATAACTCTCTTTATTGTGAATTTCAGACAGAAGAGCAATTGCTGCTTCTTTTCTCTTTGAACGTTCTTCAATGGCAAGCTTCTCTTTTTCTTCAAGCTTGTTGAATGTGTCAATAGTGGCATAGGCTTTCTTGGAGGAAGATAGAACAGTTTGGATTTCTTGTTGCAGAGAATGAATTGTAGCTTGAAGGCCATGAAAGGGAGCTCCATCTTCAAAACAATGAAAGGACAAGATGTTAAGAGCATTCTCAAGCCGAAGTTTGCCTTCTTCAGAGCAAGCTATTTCACTTAGACTCATCTTCAATGAGGTTCCCAAGTCAGTGAGAGCTTTACTCAGCTCGTTATCATCTTCAAATGCTGCAATTTTGGATCCATAAGGCATGTCAACTTCCATTTCAGCACCTTCCTCCATTATTTGGAATAATCTCATCAGATCATCTTCTGCAAATTGACGACGGTTTCCCTGGTCAAACTTAATTTGATTCTTAATGGAGGTCCCTGGTTGATCCATGATTTTATCCTGTTGAAGTAAATCAAATGAAGCAACCATTATTGTAACCTATAGAATAGAATCCACAACACATTTATGTCTAAACAATAGAAGCACAGTTAATAATTGTTGACCTTCTTAATTAGGTGCATACTGAAAATAATAGTTCATACAAGTTAGTTTATTTATGTATTAAATTGTAATGGTGTTATTTATGTATTAATTAAACTGTAATGAAGTTAATGTATAGTGTCTCTAAAATACGGGACCATTTGCTTCATTAAAAAGGGAACTACCAGTTGATTATCAAATTGTTCTATTCTAGCATTAGTATATACCAGCTTTAAAGAATAAATTCCATCCCGAAATTGATGCAGTAACATGAAGGCTTACTTGTGCAGATTGATCAGTAATAGTAGAGCTGCCTGATTCCATTTCCACGTGAGGAGCTGAAGTTTTTTCTTGAGGCTTTTTTGGAGAATATATTGAAGAGATCAAAGAGATTAGAGATTATAGAAAGGTTAATCTGAATGAAAATAAATAATGTATCAATAATGCAAATATATTGGAAACCAAGTATTTACCGGTGGAGGGTTCATTCCAGTAATAGAATTTTCTGGAATCATCATTGCCATTCTATTTGATGTTTCTTTGGAAGGGCATTCATTAGTAGGTTCTTCAACTCTTTGAGGAGCTTCATTGGAGCTTCTACTTTCTCCAAGTGCTTGTTGATCACACATTGGTTCCTTTTCACATAACTCCTAAGTAAAGGAATAATCAAGCAACAAGTGATATTTTTAAAGCAAAAAGCTAATGAAACAAACCTACCTTTATAAAAACTGCTGTGCCTAGATTTGAGATTGTTAGCTCAGAATGAGTTGATGAACTTACATTGTAAACCAAATTATCCTGAATGAACATGAAAATGTAAAAACTATCACAAGGTTATGTCGTTTAGGAGCTAACTCAACCCACATCAGGAAGGACTATATTCTTACTATTTATTTTATAAAGGAATAGCAGATGCTATTTGTGATGTATTACTTAATTTTGAATTCATGATTTAATATGCTTTTCTAGCTTCCTCTTATTTTGGTACCTTCTTGAATACTTCGTTTGTTTCTTAAATTTGTTTTAATTAGATTACCCATAGGGTCAACTTTGATAAATGTACAAGTACAAAAGCATTTGTTGAGGTTTGATGGTGGAATTGCTGCTGTATCTGAAGTAGGAATTTGTTCTTCAACAATTTCATCTGTCGATACCTTAGTATTCTGTATAGTTCATAAAATATGAATAAGTTGCTAAAGAAGTTCAATTAATCGAGAAGAAAGTCTTTTATTAATTGAGGAAAAAGCTCAATAAAAATACTACAAATTATTACTATTATAAGACATTTCCATTTCTACATTGCTGCATATATAACTGGGAAAAAAGACTGAGCGTGTGTATATATATAAAACGGTGAAAGTATTAATTGAGAATAACCCTACCACAACTGAGTTAGATGATCGAGTTGTAGAGAGCTTTTCTTCAACAATTTCATTTCCTGATACGTTGGCACTCTACATAGCCCATAAATTATGAATATGTCAGTTTCTAAAATGGTTAAAATAATTAAGAAGCATACAATATATATACATTAATAAAAAGAGAAATTGTGTGTTGGTCTGGGTCACTATTGTCATAGAAAAGCATAATGTACATACCTCTATAAAATTTGACGAATTTGCGGTGCCTTTTTTAGCAATCTCCTTTGATAACTCATTACTCTAAACATTAAAAAAAATGGTATAATAAAAAGAAGGTAAACTGAGCTTTGATGTTATTAATAACTGTAATATATTAAATCTAAACACACAACATAAAAAAAATATCTTGATTTATTTGGAATAAATGGATAAGACAATGAGGTAAGAGAGAATTCATTAGTTAGTTTCTTAAGTATGCTTAGTCATAGGGAAGTATAAACACGTACATTTTCAAAATTTGGAGAACCACTGCTCTGTTGGGGCATTGCTGAGTCATTTCCAACATATTGTGGTTCCTCTTCTTCAATCTGAACAATAATAGAATATATATATATATATATATATATATTAACATAAAAATAGTAATCTTCGCCCACAAAATAAGAAAAGTGGGGGAAGTATTTAATTTCTACCAAAATTAGTAGAAGTCTGGCACTAACCTCGCAAGCCCATTCCTGAATAATACCGTATGTGTAGTTGAAGGTCTTTTCTTGTGGAAAAGAATAATCGAGATAATCAAATACTGCACAACCAAAACCACAATTTCGTTATCATTACTATGAGAAGAAATCATATGTAGCAGTTAATGATTTCGATTAACTACGTATATGTGAATACTTACTCTCAGAGGAGCTGACATTAGGTGAAGGGATATTGTTACAATCTTGCACAATACGGATTTTCACAGTTTGGAAATCAATTCCATGATAGATAGTGTGAAGACTTGGTAGTTTTACCAGTCTTATTGCAAGTAAATTTGGAAGCACATCCTTGATGACCAACTCTTGCGGCGCGCCCTGCTTCCATTCAAATACTTGAGCAAGCTCAGGAGCATCTTCTATCTCCAACGTCAAGAGACATGGAAGTTTAGCACATGTAGAGACAGAGAATAAGCATTTCAACTTCTTGCAGTGCTTTACTCGAATATGGCATAGCTTTGGGAAACATGGTTGATGCAGATCCAAAGGATTTTGTTGATTCTCTTCATCATCCTCAATTATGCTCACCAACTCTTCACAGTCTGATATGAATAGCCTTCTCAATTCTGGTATGCTTCTCGTGGTACAAGCAGACAGTATGAACTTCAACTGTTTGCATTTTTCAAATTCTAGAACAGAAAGGTTTTGAAAGCTCAAAGAGATTTTAGGTCCCACATATATATCCCTTAAATCAGCCAACTCTTGCAAGTTCGAAAGTGCCTTACCTTTCTCCTTGAAAGATAATGCCTGTAAGCATACAATTGAGATATGTTAGTCTTAAAGAGTCTCTTTAGGTGATTGATTATAAGCTAGCAAACGGCAGAGAGGTTTACCTTTCTGCTTGAGAGATCTTCTTGTCTTTTGTGTCCACCAACCAAGAAATCTATAAAAGTTTGAGGAAGCTGTAGACATCCTTCAATACTAATATATTCTAGATTTAATACCTCCACGTAATAATTTTCTGTGGAAATACTAACCATATTTGGTAAATCTACAAGGTATATTGTTTTCAAGGCTGGGAGATTAAGTTTACTCTGAACATTATGATTCTGATCAGCATGACATTCTCGAAATACATATTTCATCTTTTCTGCCTTCCCGATGCTCACATATCCCAACTCCTTAAAGTCTTTTGAATAAAAAGCTGGGAATAAAAATTCCAAATTGTTACAGCTCCAAATATAGACTTGTTGTAAGTTAGGAAAGATAGAGTGCACATTCATATGACCTTGACCATTAGGCCCCTCGTCTGTTATAATATGTTCCAGTGCATCACACTCCTTGACATACAATGTTTCCAAGAACTTCAGTGATGAGGCAATGGATATGGTAAAGAGTGATGTTAACTTGGAAAATCCAGTTATCTCAATCCCTCTCAAATTGGATTGAGATAATGGTAGTGGAAAATATCCATAAGCTGTACTTGGCACGTGCTTCGATTTGGATGCCTTGGTTAAATACAAACATGTTAATTCATTTTTTCCTTTTTCCTGGTAAATACATATGAATTCTTCAATAAACTAATAAAGAACATTTTAGTATGTTGTTATATTTAAAAAAAATAGAAAATACTTTTTTGGTTCTTTACAGAACTTGTGAAACCAAGAAGAATTCAGGAGAAATTTTATTCAGCTTTTCTAACAACTTATAAATATATAATTTTCTCTATTGTAAACAAAAGAAATGCTCGCTTTTGATATAAATTGAGCTCAAACTGAAATTTCTATCTTTCGCTTTTCTATTATTTTCTATTTAAACAAGGAAAAATTGCAAATAATGGCCATAGAAAATATAAAATTGCAATTTGGATTCTTCGAATCCTAAAATTGTTGTCAAGAACTGGCTCTTAAATATAAATTAGCAAATATTGTATAAAAAACCAAATTGCCCTCCTATTACTTGGAATACTTAAATTGTTACTTGAAATACTTAACTTGTAATTTCTAAAATTGTACTTATTATTTCGTAGTACAAATTTATTATTTGAAATACTTCACTTGTAATTTTAAATGCTATGCTTGTTATTCCCAATAGTTCACTTGTTATTTTCAATAGGAGGCAACTTGGTCTTATACTCAATATTTCATAATTCAAATTTAAGATGAGGTCCCTACCAATAACTTTTTGAATTCAAAAATCCAAATTGCAATTTTATATTTTTCAAAATCTTTATTTGTGATTTTTTCTTTAAACAATTACCTAGAAGCCAAAATTATATATTTTAATCTATACGACATCAACTTTTATAATAAAAATTATAAAGAATGTAAATTTCAACATTCTAAATACTTCTGTAAATGAAAAAGTAAAATAACAAGAAAAAATTGAACAATATAAATGTTTTAAAGTGGAAGTCAGAGGTGAAAAAGTAACCTACTACTAACATAAGGCATATTTTTGAACAAGCCATCAAAATCAATAATATATGTGTCTATATACACACAAAAAGCTACCACAAGTAGAAATCTTCACACAAAAGAATAAATTTTCTCTACTTAAATATTCACAAACTAAAAAAAAAATAGTAGGAAAGAGGTTTACCTTTTCCTTTGAGAGGTGATCTCTTTTTTGCACATCAATGGATAAATCTATAACATTATTTATGGGAAGTTGTGGGCAGTTTTTCAAACTTATATCTTGTAGAGATAATGCCTTCACAGAATACTTTTTGGTGCAAATACTCACCATATTTGGCACATCATGAAGGCTTAGTCTTTTGAGATCTAGGAGATTAAGTTCAATATGAACATTATGCCTTTGATTGGAATGACATTTTCCAAACACATATTTCAACTTTTCAGCATTGAAGACTTCAACTTGCTTTAAGTTGGAAAAGATACAACAATCATTCATATGACTGTAAGCATGCCCCTCATCTGTGACTATGTGCTCCAGTTCACCACATTTACTGATTGTTAATTCTTCTAACAATTTCAATGATGAGGCAATCGACAGGGTAAGAAGTGACTTCAACTCAGAAAATCCCTCTACACTCATCTTTCTTAAATTCTTGTATGGACATAATGAAGGTGTAAAAAGTCCACTAGCTTTACCGAGATGTTTCTCCTTTAATGCCTATGTTACATTAAAATATTTGTCAATATGTTATTACATTACAAAATCACAATCATAGTAACCAAAAAAAGTGAGACAAAGTACCTGAGTAAGGTTCAATTGATTGGCCCTGGAAAAAGATAGTTCATTGATGCTAAAGGCACTTGCTTTTGAAGATAAACGACACAGAGGCCCCATGATTTCTGCACTTGAGAAGACTGTGGGAGATAATATTCTGGATATATGTTGATGAATTTGGATACGTTTGCAATTTCTATTTCTTGTAGTGAGGGGAGTATGGTTTCCTTTTCCATTTGACGCATACCTCCCTCCTCTAAACATTGCCGAAATATGAATTCTAGCTTATTACAACCACGGATTTTCACACTTTCTAGCTCTTTGCAAGGAAAAATTGGCAATATAAATTCCAATTCATGACATTCTTCAATGTTCAGAGACCTCAATTTCGGGAACATTGAGTGATGGGTCTTTTGATTACAATCATGATGATCGTCCACTTTTTGCTCTGCAGATCTCTTATCATCACTTATTAGGCATTTCATCTTTGAGCATCCACTTATGTCCAAATTTTCCAGTTGCTTTAGACTTTGAGCTGTGGATAGACAGAAAAGATATGTCATCGAACAACCATTTAACTCTATAGACTTCAAACTACTTAGCTCTAGCTTGCCCTTCAATAGTGTGCCGTCTATTTCAGCACAACCACTTATGTATAGCTTCTCTAGTTGCTTGAGAAAGTCATTAGGAAAATCACCATGACATAATTCCCTCACACACATGTTAGAAAGTCGTAGCTCAACTAAGTTTGAGAAGATGGTTGCATGAGATTGAATTCCACTTGTATTGATGAGGCATTGTATTGCAGGCCAAGATTTCAAAGAAAGCCTAATTAAGCCATTCATGCCTTCATCTTCTTGAGGATCAACTATGTCAGGAATAAGGTTTGTCCATCTTGTATCATTACATTCTGTTAACTCAAGAATCTCTGCTCTTGCTGCCAGGGATTTGATTGTGCTTTCAGACAAGATCCCTTTTAACTTGGTTGAATTGAAATATCTTTTTGTTGAAGCATCCAATTGAAAAGAACGCTGGTAAGAGTAGTTGCCTTCTACATGATATATTCTAAATTCTTGATGAAGATCTATAATTTTAGAAGGCTTTGGATTAATTTTAAGAGTGTCATGATTTGAAATATAATACAATACTTCAAGTTTCGAGCATCTCCCAATCACTTCAAACGGGTTATTCTTTTCGATTGAACAATCTACCAAGCCTAGCAACCTCAGTTTCTCCTGTTGGCTAACTTCATTTGGCAATTCACTAATTGAACAATTTGTCAATTCAAGAGTTTGGAGTTTTTTGAGGTTTTGCAAAATAGATATATCACCCAACTCCCAATTTGTTAGGGACAGTGTTTGGATATTTTCAAGTGAATGAATTGATTTTGGTAGTGACAAGGCCAATGTTCTCTGAAACTTAACCTTAGAACACAAAAGCAAAACTCTAAGTCCCTTCATACCTCCAAAGAATGCCTCAGGAACTCCCAAAGGATGACTTGCATTATTTACCCATACTAAAAGAACCTCAAGATTAATGCCCTCAAAAGAGTTGGAAAAGTCATCTATCATCCAGGATGAATATTTTACATTCTCCTTCAATTTACTTTTAGAATCCATGATTACTTGAATCTTTTCATCTCCTATTTGATGGGCTATATCACGAATCACATCGTGCATCTTTACAAATCCTTCTCTAGTAGTGAGCAATAAAGCAGAACGTACGAGTGTGGTTTTGATTGAAAGCACTTCACTTCTTGCTCTATAGTAGCTGCCAACATTTTCACTCAGCCCTGAACCTATAGCAATTCTGCTTAAAACCTCTACTGGTATTTCATAAGCTCTTGGGAATATAGAACATAGCAGGATGAGATCTTGCGCTCCTCTATCTAGACACTTGAAGCTTATTTTCAGAGAATTGTAAAACTTTTTCACTTCATCAATGTTCCCATGCCTTAAGGATGAATCTTTTTCTATTACTGCAAAAGCATCCTCCCATTCATTTGGATCCCAATTTCTAAAGGTTCGTGCAACTGCTACAATTACAACTGGTAAGTTTCCACACTCAATCACAACTTTTGATGCTAGCAACTTCAATTTATTAGGACAATCCTTCCCATTTTCAGTGGCATGATGTAGGAAAAGATTCACTGCGTCTTCCTCAGGTAAGAGCCCTAGTTTAACAGTTTTTTGGCAGCTCATTCTTCTACAAATTGTCTCATAACGTGTGGTTAGCAAGACACAACACCGGCCCTGGGTATGGATGCCATGGTGAATCCCTATGTTCTCAAGTTTGAGCTCTTCCCAGACATCATCAAGTATTATGAGTACACTTCTAGCATTAGTGATTCTGATCCATATTTGTTCTGCGTGTGTTAAATCCTTGCCATCCTCCAACTTCAACTCCAATTTTTTTGCAATTTCATCTTGAATCTTCTTTTCGTCAACAGGATTAGGCACTTCAATGAAGACAACTTTATCAAATGCCTTTGAATTTTCAAGTTCCTTACCAATTGCTTTTGTCATTGTGGTTTTCCCTGATCCTCCCATTGCTTGCAATCCAATCCTATGTATATTGTCATTTTTCAGCTCCTCCCTAAGTTGTTCATAAACTAAGTTTCTACTCTTAAAATGCATAAACTCTTGTGAATAGAACTCCATGCCTGGAGGTCCAGCTGCATGTGCAACTTGTGAGAAGTTCTCAGCTTTCTCCATTACTGTTGGAATCTCTTGCATGATGCGCTCTAATTTCTTCGCCAGTGAATATTGCGAAAACCAATCATTACAGAAACCAAACCATTTCTTTGGTCTTGTTTCTTGCTGAATGAAGTTGTTGGCTTTTCGAACCCAATGCTTAACTAAAGGGTCAATTTGAGTTTCATTCCTTCTTTTGGCTTCTTTTATCTTCATGTCCACACTCTCCACTGCAGCTGACAATTCTCCCTTTTTCTCTTCAAATTCAGCTGCATAACTCTTGTAACGACACAAATATGGAAGTTCCTTTGTTACTTTGTCTACCAATATATCAGTACATTTTGTTGCAGCAGCACTACTGGCCACAATCTCTGCCATCTATCATACATAATGAGATTACAATTACAAAAACAACAAGGTCATATCGTGATACCTCAGGCACAACTATACTATGATCCAATATTTAGCATAAAAAACAAATCATAGTAATCAAAATCTCAGTACTTGTATAGTGCACAAAATTTCGTAACCTCTATGTTTTAGATGAAACAATCCAATATAAATATGACAGGGAAGTTAGTTTGACAATCCATTGCACTCACAAAATGTTATGAGCCTCAAGCCTTAGAAGAAAAGTTCGATTTATAAATCTAAAGAGCTCTCTCTTCTAACAAGTTATTGTAGTCTTTTAGAATGTGCTCCATAACATTGCTGGGTTGATACGAAAAAATCTGAAGTCACTATAAATTAGAAAGAAAAAGTGGTGAGAATTAAAAATATGTAAATATATGTATTTGTTTCTTTTGTCAGTTTATGTAGTAGGTTTAAATGGAAATATCTAATAATGTGAACATTTTTTACCTTAATAAACAAATTTATTATGTTAGCATAATATCAGAACTTATTTCTAGAGACCACAAATCAAAAATTGGAAAACTCAATAACCATAAATCTTATTGGTTTCTCCATAAGCCACAACCACACCAATAGGATGCCGTTGCAAATAATTTGATTTCCGCATATGACTCTAAATTTTACAGTAAAATACTTCAACCTTTAATCTATTACATTTTGTCTTGCTCACATGATTTTCCATCATCTATTGTGATAACATACACTTAAATTTCAAAAGATACTTTTTAATTAAAGTTATACTACAGTACTTTTGTTTACTAGTTTACATCATGATACTAAATTTTTAATTTTGGCTAAAATATTTTTAAAGAATTTAAAAGTTTTCCCTTTTCCTTGATTTTTTATTTACTTTTGTAAATATTTATATATTTATAATGTTTTTATCGTGTTAGAAAAGAAGCTTAAATAATTTAGCCAACGATTAATATCATCTTTAGTTGTAAAAATTTGATCTTGTTTTAGTTTTAATTTGGTCCTTAAAATTTGAAACAAGTGCTTTTGATTTTTAAAATTTAACTTTATTTTGATCTGTTTACAGATTTTTTGTTTATGGAACAGTTTTTTTTGGTTCATGAAAGTATGAAATTTTAGAAACTAAAATTAAAATAAGATCAAATTTTAAAAACTAGAGATGATATTTACCCTTTACTTAATGTATACATGAAAAAACTTGATTGAAAATTTGATTAATTTTTTAAATAAATATATAACTGACTAAGTATGTTTATAAGTGTTTGTAACTAAAGCTTTGTTAAAAATTGTATATTTTAAATTTAAATTGTTTATATAATCTCCCAATCTTGCATCATTTATAATTATAATATACGATGAAAAAAATATGTGTTTGAAATATTTTTTAGCCATTAATTTGAAAAAAAAAAAACTCAATAAATAAGTTCCAATACATGTGATGAAAAATTAAAATTAGAAAAGTTTATAATATAATCAAAATTAACTTTACAACATATTAGAAAGCTTGAAAATATATGTATTAAAGTTATTTTTTGTTGTATAAAAAATATTTATTTGAAAAATATAATATAAATATCTAAATAATTTTTATGTTAAGCAGGTGTATTTTTGTCAAAACAAAATTTTAAGAGTCAAACTTTAAGAGAACTAACATTTAGATGAACGAAAATGGCATATCAATTATATAAGAAAGATTTGTATAACATATGATTTAATTTCAAAGAATGTTTATGCACAATTTTAAAATAAATGAAAGGTTTTTATAATTTAAGTAAAATAATTGTATCTCCCGTACTCTCATGGTCACAATGACGTGAAGGATGAGACGGAAGGGCGGGATGAACCATAGTTTAGTCACAAAATTAATGATAGAATATTTTGATGACAAGCATTTTAATAATGACATTGAGAAATAGAAATTGATAATTTTGAGCATTTCCATTACCAAATACTTTATAATAGAATTAGTGATGAATTATTGATAGATTGTTTGACAGAATATATATATGCTGTTAATTCTAATCGTGAAATTAGTAACAGAATAAAATGGGGTCGCTAAATTATATTGTTAATTTATTGTTTTTTTCGTAATATTAAAGACGTTGATTTGGAAGCTCGTAATATTAATATTATGAAATTCTATGCTTACTTCTTGACTCTTGTCCGAGTATTTCAAACCCTATGATAGGAAGGACCTTTTCTGCTTGCTTCTTGGTTTGACCCTAATAAAAAAGCAACATTATCCAAATGTCAGAGAAAAATTAAGGGAATGATAACCTAAATTGTAAAGCCATGAAAATTTAGATAAGAATAAGAAAAATTTGAGAAAAATTTCCCTATTGAAAATCTTATTAGTGAGGAGGACCTGAATCAAAATGTCAGTATTACTATTATGTGTGTTGCAGAGTCTTGATATCTTCTGTGTACAAAAATCTATCAAGTCCTTATCACTAGCAAAATTTTTAATAGGAGACTTTTCTCTTGCTTTTTATAAAAGCAATCATGTTTTTAATAGCAAGAAATGCTTCTAATCAATGGTGGCTGAAGAAAATTGGTGCAGAAGAGAGCCAATTAAAGATGTAAAAATATTAATCGAAAAAGAACGAAAATACATTTAGGAGTTTCTTTCCATTTTTAATTATCTAACGAAAAAATAAAACAATTTTGTCCCCAAAAAATATTATTGAAAACTTATTAGTGCTTTTTATTATTGTAATAAATGTAAAACAACTTCTACTTTTATTAACTTATTGTTTCTGTGCTTTACTTTTGCAACTCAATGCTTAGTCAAATTTATTTGTGTGCCTGGCTGCCAGGTCATGTTGCCTAACAGATTTTTTTTAACGGTGTTAACTCTTTTCTAATGGTTTTAAACAGTAGGGATTAATAAAGCTAACTGTGTAAACTTAAAGGACTTGATAAAAAATTAAAAAAAATACAGGGACTTGATTCAAAATTCAAGTAAACTATAAGGACTGGGAAACTAATTTTTTTCCTATTATAAATCACGTTTTAACCGTCCAAAAATTACTTTGAGAAGCTCAAAGAAACATGCTCTTTAATTATTCAATTCAAATGTCAGTGATTAAAAAAAAAAAAATAAGCTGGCTTGCTGACAGTTTTTTTTTTAATTGTGATTTTTACTGCCTTTTTTTTTTTTGGTCTGACGGCCTTGCTTAAACCATTGATGATAAAAAAAACATAAAAACATGCAAGTTATTGATTTATATGTTCCTATAGTGAGATAAATATTAAAAAAGTATAAAGAGCCGTATTGTTCACAAGTAGTAGAAGATGCAGTTTATTAAATGTATAGTTTTTGTTTAGTTAGTTGGGCCTGTCTGGTTGAGTAGTGTAGGCCCATTAGTCCAATAGTTTGTTACTTCGTTCCGTTCAGTTTTGTCCAATATAAAGTGGTGTGGACTGATGTATTAAGTGTGTAAGCTATTTTACAGAATGAAATGAGAATTGAGTTTGTTTTAGCTTTCCGCGAATACTCTGATTCTTATCATGGCATCAGAGCGCATGTTGCGATCCAAAAGATTATTTCATGAGGAAGCCCAATACATCAAATTGAGCTCGGCGTCGGAAGTTCAAGATTAACCCAGAGCGTTTCGTTTCACATATTCCCTGTCTGTCCCGAAACCAAGAACACACCCTTACCAATTTTACAATCTGCAAACCCTAACCAGACTATTGCAAGAAGCATGGGAGAAGAGAAGGCAGCCGGAGAATCGAGCGTCAATTTCGCACATCCCCTTTACTTGCATCCCTCCGAGACGCAAGGAGCTTCCATCATTAGTCAGGTATTAACCGGCAGCGATAACTACACAATCTGGAGCAAGGCTATGTTAATAGCCTTGAGAGGGAAGAACAAGGTCAGGTTTATCGACGGATCATGCAAGAAGTGTGATCAAGAACCCAATCTCCAGAATCTTTGGGAACGGTGCAACGCCGTTGTTTTCTCTTGGATCTTGAACTCAATTTCGAAGGACTTGGCGAACAGTTTAGTGTATCTTCAGGAAGCGCACGTTGCGTGGGAGGATTTAAAGGAGCGTTTTGATAAGATATCCGGCTCCAGAGTTTTCTCCCTCCATCGAGAAATACATTCCCTGCGCCAAGGCGAGTTAACCATTTCTGGGTATTACTCACGGTTAAAGGAACTCTGGGAAGAGCAGGCCAGTATTGTGGCAATCCCGTCTTGTAAATGTGCTACATCTAAAGCCTATAACGAGGCTATGCAACAGCAAAGGTTGCTCTAGTTTCTGATGGGGTTGAACGAGGTCTACGATAATGCGAGAGGCCAAATACTTTTAATGTACCCCCTTCCCACGGTTAATCAGTCATATGCGATGGTTCTGGAAGTTGAGGCACAGAAAAACATTGCCAGTATGGAGAAGGTTAATGTCACCGAAGGGGCAGTGATGATTGCTAAAGGCAGAGGCAGAGGAAGAGGTAGGGGGAGAGGAAATCCCCCACCGAAATGCAATCACTGTCATAAGAGAGGACATACGAGGGATAATTGCTGGGAACTAATCGGGTTTCCAGCTGATTTCAAAGGTAATAAAGGGAGACAGAATCAAGAAGTCAGAGGAAAACAGAGTGGGAGCAATCGGGAAGGAGAGGCTCTCACAAATGTCTCCACCGTCTCACCAAGCTTTACAGCAGAGCAATATGAACGCTTGCTGGAGCTGTTGAAGAAGGACTCGAATGCTGATGCTCATGCGCTAAGCGGTACAGGTTTGCCAATTCTATACTCTTCTGATTTAAAACACAGTAAGTGGGTCTTAGATTCAGGAGCCACCACACATATGGTCAGTGACCTAGGATTATTGGACAATTATGAACTTATAATGGACCAATTAAAACTATAAGGGTTCCAAATGGAGACAGATTTTCTGTGACTCACGTAGGAGATATTAAATTTCCTAATGGAATTGAATTAAAAGGGATTTTATATGCTGCTGAGCTTCAATTCAATCTAATATCTGTTTCTAGGGTCACTAAAGAACTATTCTGTGTGGTATCTTTCTATTCTGATAAATGTATGTTGCAGGACCTTCAGGATGGGAGAATGATGGGGATTGGTAGAGTAGTGCACGGTTTATACCTTCTGGATTTAGAAAAGAGTTACATTGATACAAGGATAGATACTGATACTTGCTGTTCTGTGAATCATACTGATCTGTGGCTTTTACATAAAAGATTTGGACACACTCCTGTGAATGTGTTGAGACACTTAGACATTGTACATGACAAATCAGTGAATATGAATAAAAGTTGTGATGTTTGTTTCCAGTCCAAGCAGACCAAACTTCCATTCCCTTCTAGCTGCATTAAAACTAAAAAATGCTTTGATCTAATTCACATGGATGTTTGGGGGCCTTACAAAGTACCCACTCATTCAGGTTTTCAATATTTTCTGACTATAGTAGACGATTTTTCCAGAGCAACTTGGACGTATTTGATGAAACATAAATCTGAAACTGTTAGTCATATCAAGAATTTTTTTGCTTATGTTCAAAATCAGTTTGAAAAGTCTGTTAAAAGGGTAAGAAGCGATAATGGCACTGAATTTATCAACCATGAATTAACAAAGTATTTCCAAGATAGGGGTGTCATACATGAAAGTTCTTGTCCTTATACTCCTGAGCAGAATGGTGTTGTAGAAAGAAAACACAGGACCTTAATGCAAATTGCAAGAGGTCTAATAATACAATCAGGTTTGCTAATCAAGTTTTGGGGTGAATGCGTTAAAATGGCAACTCATCTAGCAAATAGAATCCCTAGCCGAATATTAGATTTCAAGAGTTCCTATCAACTTGTACATGGTCAGACCCCTGACTATAGTGATTTAAGAGTTTTTGGTTGTTTAGCTTATGCCACAAATCTTATTAATTCAGATAAGTTTCAATCTAGGTCAATACCATGTGTTTTCTTAGGGTATTCTGATAATAAAAAGGGGTATATTTTGCTAAATCTAAAAGATCATAGACTGTTTATAAGTAGACATGTAAGGTTTGTTGAGGATGTTTTTCCATTTCAGATCACCAATGGTACGGATCAAGGGGGAGTGTCTGATGAGGTTAAAAAAATGTTTTATTTTGATGATCATAATGAGCACTCTCAGTCGGAATTCACAAGGGATTCTAACTCTACATCCAATTCAGTGACTAATAATGATGATAATCTTGATTCTGTGATTGATAATACTAATGATCAGCCCTTAAATTGCACTGGTGTGAACTCTGATTGTGTTAATGAACGTCCTGTGAGAGAGAGACGTCCCCCTATATGGTCTAGAGATTATGTTTGTAATATGGCGAAATCCAACACTAGTGAATCTACTTGTAACATAGTAAGGAGATCTGTATGCAAATATCCAATAGAGAATTATATATCATATGATGGTGTTTCCCCTTCACATATGAGCTTTCTTTGTTCGATTGATTCTGTCATTGAACCTATCTACTATGCTGATGCTGTGTGTGACAATAATTGGGTAATAGCTATGGAAAATGAAATAAAGGCTTTAGAACAGAATGAAACATGGGATATTGTTCATTTACCTAAAGGAAAAAGGCCAATAGGATGTAAGTGGGTTTATAAGGTAAAATATAAGCCTGATGGGACCATTGATAAATATAAAGCTAGATTAGTAGCAAAAGGCTATAGTCAGATTGAAGGGGTTGATTATAATGAAACATTTTCTCCTATGGTGAAAATGGTCACTGTTAGAACTGTTTTAAAGATAGCCGCTGTGAATAATTGGCCATTGTATCAAATGGATGTGAATAATGCCTTTTTGCAGGGAGATCTTGATGAAGAAGTTTACATGACAATACCCCAAGGTTTTAAGAACCAAGGGAATAATATGGTGTGTAAACTTAAGAAGTCCCTCTATGGGCTTAAACAAGCCTCAAGGCAGTGGAATCAAAAACTTTCACTGTCTTTGATTAGTGGAGGTTTTGTGCAGAGTAAACATGATTATTCTTTGTATATTAAACATTATGATGATGCTTTTGTAGTTATTCTGGTTTATGTGGATGACTTATTGATTACTGGGAGTTCTGAGCAAAGAATTAATCAGGTTAAATCATATCTGCATAGTCACTTTAAAATTAAGGACTTAGGTGTCATGAAATATTTTTTGGGCATTGAGGTGGCAAGGTCCAGAAAGGGAATTATACTGTCCCAAAGGAAATATATACTAGATCTTCTTGCAGAAACAGGTATGAGTGGTTGTAGACCCCTCAGTTTGCCTATGCCACAGCATTTAAAATTGACAGCTTATGAAGAAGGGAAGCATCGAAAGGAGGATCTGTTCGCAGAACCAGGGAAGTATAGGAGACTGATAGGAAAACTAATATATTTAACTATGACAAGGCCTGATATTTCCTTTCCTGTGCAGGTATTGAGTCAATTCATGCAACTACCAATGAAGTGTCATTGGGGAGCTGCTATGGGAGTGCTGAGATACCTCAAACAATCGCCTGGTCTTGGAATTCAGCTGAGCTCAAAGGGGGATTTGAAGCTTCACTGCTTTTGTGATTCAGATTGGGGGTCATGTGAGACCACGCGGAGGTCCGTGACTGGCTATCTTCTCAAATTAGGAGATGCACTTATAATCTGGAAAACAAAGAAGCAAGTGACAGTTTCAAGATCCTCTGCTGAAGCTGAGTATAGGGCATTGGGTTCAGCTGTCCTGAAGTAATCTGGGTGAGAGGTCTTTTAGCCGATCTGGGGGTGTCTGTACAGGAACCAGTGGATGTGCATTGTGACAGCAGATCTGCAATCTACATTGCAACAAATCCGGTCTTTCATGAGAGAACAAAGCATGTTGAGATTGATTGTCACTTTGTAAGGGAGAAGGTGACAAAGGGTTTAATCAAATTGCAACATGTAAGGTCTGCTGATCAAGAGGCTGACATATTAACCAAAGCAGTGGGTAAAGAAACACAGATGCGGTTGCTTAGCAAGTTAGGTGCTTTAAATGTTTACCAGCCCCAAACTTGAGGGGGGGTATTAAATGTATAGTTTTTGTTTAGTTAGTTGGGCCTGTCTGGTTGAGTAGTGTAGGCCCATTAGTCCAATAGTTTGTTACTTCGTTCCGTTCAGTTTTGTCCAATATAAAGTGGTGTGGACTGATGTATTAAGTGTGTAAGCCATTTTACAGAATGAAATGAGAATTGAGTTTGTTTTAGCTTTCCGCGAATACTCTGATTCTTATCACAGTTAATTCTATAATATATATAAATACGAATAACCCGCTTTAGTTTATAATTTAACAAAGCTATCGTAGAATGAAGTTTCTATGAATATAAATGAAATCTACCACCAAAACTATGCATATATTAACCTGTAAATAGGAATTATTCAAGTATGACTCACATGACCGATCAAGATCTAAGAAATAAAAGCAAGTTAAAACCAAAATAAAAAAGTTTAAGAGAGCATATATATGTGTAAAAGAGGATTCATAAGTATCATGGAGTTTAAATCCTTACCTCTTAGAGGTTTCTAGGCTGCAATGCTTCTGATATAAAAGTCTTTTCTTCTTCTTTCTCTTTTTGTTTTTTGGTGGTTTGAGAAAAGGAATTACGAGAACAACAATAAAAGAGAAAGAAGATTTCAACACAACTTTTTTTTTTTGTTTTCTCTAAGTAAGAACGAGCTAAACAACAATAATGACAATAGACAAAGATAAGAATAAGAAAACAACTCAAGTGCCAGAAAATAAAGCTTGGAAAAAAAAAAACAGGTTCTTTCAATCGACAAACTTTGAAACAAAACCCAAAGCTCTTAGATTTTTTTTTCTTGATTTGTTTTCCCTAAATGAGAAGGAGAAAAGCAACTCAAAACAGAAGAGCAAGAGCTTCAAAAAAAATTTATGATTAAAGAGAGAAATGAGAGCGAGAAGAGAGGAAGAGCACAAAAATTACAGAGAGAAGAAGCAAGAAGTACAATAAGTGGCTACTAATAGTGACTGATGAACATTTTTATTTACAGCCACATCAATCATATAAAGAAATTCTTATGTGAACTTGGCGCATCACATCATTTGCAATCTATCTAATAAAAGAGAGGCAGCTCATCTAATTTCACCTGGTATCACAGTAAGAGAAAGAATAACCAGTGGGTCCTATAAATTTTTATATTTAATAATCTTTCTCCATCAATTAATTTTTCTCTCTTTCACTTCCAACAATGTCCCACTTTCTCTTCCATTAAAGCACAATACCCTTTCTTTTAGTTTGAAAGCTCTACAGTTAAAAAGTAAGTGGATTTGCTTAGTTTACCAAAATTTTAAAATTTTATTCCTATCAATTTTATTATTAGAAAACCATGCATTGCAATTTTACTAGAGAAATAGATCTAATGAATATAAGTATAGACTTAAATTTTGTCCTCTAAAATATATCTAACATCCTAAAATATATTTTTAAGTACATGTAATATATTAAAATATTTTTTGTACAATTTTACCCTTAGCATAATATAGAAGTTCTTATGGAAAATTAGCGCAATCCAAAGCAATAGAGAATTTGAATTTAACGCAATTTAAAATATTTTTTAATACTTTAAAATATTTTTTAATGTAATTTAAAATCCTTGATGTACTAGAAATAATTTAGAATGCTGGATATATTTAATAAAATATTTTAAGATACTAAATATGCTTTAACTCATATGATAATATAAAGGTTAAAATATACTTTTAGTCTTTTAACTTTACACAAGATTCTGATTTAGTTTTTTGACTTTAAAAAATATATTGTTAGTCTGTTTATCCTAAAATTATTAACAAAAAATAATAATAATGAGATATTGAATGTTAATAAAATATTATTAAAAACTAACATATTTAAGTTTAATTTTCAAAATAATGATCATTGTTACAGAAATCGTCATTTAAGACTAACGATTTTAGAGTTAAAGGATTAAAAATATACTTTTTAAAATTAAGACTGAAACTTTATATAACAATAAAAGACTAAATATATACTTTAATCTAATATAAAGTTAGTATATAAAATTATTGATCCACGCAAATTTAAAATTTGATAGGTATAATTAAAATAAGAAACATGGGATTGGGATGAATTTAGTTACAGTATATATCATACATATATTATTTATTTCAATTGATATAACTAATAAAGGTAAACAATTTCATATACTTAATACTACCTCTTATCCTTAATATAAGAGTTAGTTGACTATTTGAGTAGATTAATAAAATTTTTGGAATTAGTTATTTATAATAAATAGGTGTTGTCTTTTCTAAAATACCCTTGCTAATCAAGTGTATTAGTTTTAACATTTGATAAAGCACCTATTACAAGGATTATCTTAAAAAAATAGATAAATATGAAAGATAAAATAAATTGAGATCTTATATTTAAGATCAAATTTAAAGTCAAACTAGCCTAGAAGTAGTAACTTATTAAGAACACCCCAAGTCTTTAGTGTTCCAAAACCAACTGTAGATATAATTAAAAATAACTGTAGAGCTTTGTTTTTAAAAAAACATTTCTGTAGAGCTCTTAAGTTGAATATTAACTATTATTTTTTAAAAATATAATTTTTTCTATTTTAAAATAATTATTTAATAATATTAGATCTGAACGGTCCAGATTACCGAATGGGGACCCGTCATGCTTCGATGGAAGATCAAACAAGCATAATTGGAAGTGAAAACAGGGGGAAGGGAGAGAAATTAATTGATGGAAAGAATCAAAGAATAATTATTAAAAAAAATTAGTGGGACCCAAAAAATTATTTCTTAGGAAAATTACACTCAGGTCCCACAAAAGATAATTAATTTCAAAAAGTCTCTCAGAATTCCGAAATGATTCTGAAGTCCCCAGGAACCTGTGTGTAATTAATTGTAATTGTGAAATTATTTGTTTACCCCCGTTAATTTTATTGCAGCAATTCATTTACAACCTCAACAGTGGCTGTTGACAACCCGAAGAAGTGATTGACAACCTCGGCAGTGCTCCTGACAACTCACTTTGTGGGATGCTAGGGGCATTGTCGAGGTTGTTAACCATCTCTCCTCGAATTGTCAATAACCACTGTTGAAGTCGTCAATGAGTTTAAATTAATAAGGGTGAATAAATAATTTACAATTACAATTAGTTATACACAAGCCCCTAGGAAATTAGGAATCATTTCAGGATTTTTTAGAGATTTTTTTTGAAATTAATTATCTTTTGTAGGACTTGAGTGTAATTTTCCCTTATTTCTTTGATTGCGGTGTCATGTAAGATTGAGGATCTTTGTGAGCTGGTTGCATTTAATTAGACAGACCATGGATGAAGTGGCGCGTCAGCTTCGCGCAAGAATTCCTCTGCATTTAATTGGATAGACCATTAACGAAGTGTTGCGCCGGGTTCACGCAAAAATTTCTTCAATCGTATCACGAGGTTCTGCGAATAAAACCAAATCCCCACACAGAAAATTTGAGCCATCTTTATAAAAATAGGAAGGTGAAGTCACGATTATGGATGGGCCTACGGTGTTTTGTTCCCATTCAATAATTGATCTCTTTTGTGGCAACCACCTGGCGGGACCTCTTTGTTTATCATACTCCGCTAAATATAACATATGAGCTAATTAATTAATTTTTACAGATTAAGTATAGAATTAAATTAGTTAATATAGTATTTTTTTAAAAATATCCTAATTATTTTTTTAAATTCACTTATTTCTTCCCCTACTTGATTATTGTTAAAGGAATATGAATAGGGTTAATTTAGAAAAAAATTAAAATCACATGAAATAGGTATTACATATATGACTAATATTAACTCTCAAATTAGTTACCACATTAAAGATCGGAGGAGTATTTCATTTTTGTCTCCTTAGAGAGAATGCCAGATAATTTTATTTTATTTATTATTTTATTATTTTAGAGGTGAATTCATGACAGTTATGCTTTGCCCTATATTTGTTACGAGGAAATGTGAGAAGGAGACAAGAGGAAAAATTTTCATGAGTTTAATTTTAAAAATTAAAAAATAGGGTTATAAAATTTGATTAAAAAATATAAAACAAAAGAGTAATAAATAAATTAAAAATTTTTAATCCTATTTCATTAATTTTTTAAATCAAACTTATCAAAATTTTCCTTCTCCTCCCCTCTTTTCCAGGAAATACCTAAAGAAAAAGGGGTTGTTTGTTCAATCATTTTATTATATATATATATATATATATATATATAAAGAGTCATTCGTGTTAGTGGCAGTGTCACGCAAGAGGGGGTGAATTGGGTGAGTTTAAAAAAAATCACGGAATTAAAAAATGAATACTATCGAAAACAGAGAATGTAAGTTTAGGAGGTTTCACTGTAGGAGACAAACACAAGGTTTATACTGGTTTAGTCTTAACCACTTGACTTACGTCCAGTCCTCAGAACACCTCTGAGTATTCCACTATCTTCCAAGATTGATCGGGCTCTTGGCGCCTCAGTACAGTATTTGATTCACTCAATCACTCCCCCTTACTTCCCGTAAGGTTACAACCCCACTCAAGAGTCCACACTCTTGAGTATCACACTAATGTAATCAATGATGAGTGAGTAATCTCTCTTACAGAGTGTATAGAAGATAAACACTGACACTCAATAAGATTGAAAGAACAGAGTATTGAATGCAATAGTAAATGATCATAGACGGCAGCTCGAGTATTCAATTTCGTTCATTAATG